AGAGCCTCGGCGGGGTTTCGCTGGCGGCTGGAGCCTTGGGCAGAGAGCGAGCGTTTTGTGCGGGCGCGGACCGCCTGCTTTTGTTTGGCGCTCGCAGTGATGGCACTGACCGGGCAGGAGGACTACGTCTACATTTACAATGATTTTTCTCACCCGGGGGATTTGCTGGAGGCGTTCCGCACGTTTTACCTGGACGGCTTATTTACGGACATCACTCTTCAGTGCGCTTCTGGGGTCATCTTCCATTGTCACCGAGCTGTGTTAGCAGCTTGCAGCAATTATTTTAAAGCGATGTTCACAGCCGACATGAAAGAGAAATCTAAAAAGCAGATCAGACTCCCCGGGCTCAGCCACATCATACTGGAAGCCCTGGTGAATTATGCATACACAGCACAGATCCAAATAACAAAGAGAAACGTTCAGAGCCTGCTCCAGGCTGCAGACCTCCTCCAGTTCGTGTCGGTGAAGAAAGCCTGCGAGCAGTTTCTGGTTAGGCACCTAGACACGGACAACTGCATAGGGATGCACTCCTTCGCCGAGTACCACAATTGCTCGGAGCTGGAAAAGGAGTCGCGGCGGATATTGTTGTGGCAGTTCGAGGACGTGTGGAAGCAGGAAGAATTTCTGGACATCGGCAAGGAGAAGCTCTTCTTTATTCTCTCTAGGGAGAACCTCAACGTTTGGCAAGAGAAGACAGCCATCGAAGCTGTCGTTAAGTGGGTTGCACACAACGTGGAAGAAAGAATTGAATGCATCTATGAGCTGCTGAGCTGCGTCAAAATAGACTTAGATAGCATGTATTTAAGGTCAGCTTTAAGCCTACAAAAAAAATGCCGACTAAATGATAATAAGATCAGGTCACTCGTATACAATGCACTAAACCCCAGCCCCAAAGGCGTTTCCAAAAGACCCACAGCAGTCATGTATGTGATTGGAGGATATTACTGGCATCCCTTATCAGAAGTGCACGTGTGGGATCCTTTAACCAACGCTTGGGTGCAGGGAACAGACATGCCAGATCACACCAGAGAGAGCTACGGGGTCACTAACTTGGGCCCCAACGTTTATGTGACGGGAGGTTATAGAACTGAGAGCATCGAAGCCCTCGACACCGTGTGGATTTATAACAGCGAACGAGATGAGTGGACAGAAGGCTGCCCCATGCTTGATGCAAGATACTATCACTGCGCAGTTTCTTTGGGTGGCTGCGTCTACGCGTTGGGTGGCTACAGAAAGGGAGCTCCGGTACAAGAAGCCGAGTTCTATGATCCTTTAAAAAAGAAATGGGTTCCTATTGCAAACATGATCAAAGGTACGTAAGCTTTTATATAGCTGCTGCCCCCACGTCTGTGCTCTTGCTGATGCCACTTACAAATGCCACAGATGCGTTTCAGGTATGATCCAAGTTCTACTGAACTCAATGGGAATCTTCCCATTAATTTTGGTGGGCTTTGGGTCACCAAAGCCAAGCTACTCAAACCTCCTCACTAGCCAAACTACTGCAAACATCCAGACCCTGCACCGGGGGCTGAGCGCTGTGTCACAGATGCTGGTGGTCACGTGCAAGTAGTGGTCTCAGTTTAATTTTGTCCCCTTCTAGGAGCAAAATTTCGGTGTGAATTAGAAAGAAAATAGAAAAATCTCTGGGACTGGTGTCCATCCAGTAGACCTTCAAAGACCAAGCTCCAGTAAAAGGATTGTGTCATTTTAATATCGTATATAGTCTAATGATTTAAGTTCCTAATGGAGGGTAAAATTCTTTGCTTGAAGCAGGAATATCTGACAGAAACTTCAGATTATTGAGGTTTTCAGTGCAGTTATTTACAAACGTGCCTTCTTCACTTAAAGCTTTTTGCAAGTAATAGTCTCATATGTCATTGTATCACCTGTTCAGGATCCTAAGTTTTATCTTTAGTGTGAAGGTAATGGAAAGTACCCATACCTGGTTTTTAGCAGCCAAATTAGTGATTTACTACAAATGTACAAATTTGGATCACCGCCCTATTGAAGTGTATTGTTTCATTATAAAATTTATAAACAAGTATACATTTTATCATATAACTTGTATAACTTATATTATTATTGATAATTAGTTATACAATATTTTATAAAACTATACAGCAAGTTGATACTTTCACACGTGAATGAGAGATTCTGAGGTGTCTGTAATAGGAAAACATTTTTATCATACTCATACATCGGTTTCTTCAATATTCATATGTTTTCCACAAACTTTACTATTATTCTAATTTAAAAACTAGAAATGCTACACTAATACTCTGAGCAGGGTTATGCATTCTGTGCAGGTGTTATGCTGCATTTTGTATGTGAAGCTTTTTCTCAGAAGCTTAAAAAATACAGTATTTTCTTCCTGATTTTTGTCCATTTTATTTTGCAAACCCCTTGTTTAGTTTTCTTTCATTTTCTTGGAGATAAAGTTAACATGGCTCCATTCTGTTTGTTTCCTTGCTTGTAAAATACCATCATTAATTATATCACGAGCAAGACTAAAACTATCACAAAAGATAGTCTGAGACACTGAATAATCTCACCTCCCATTGACTTTTCCCTTGCTAAATAAGTGATGAATTTAAAAGATTTATTTAATTTAGTAAAATACTGAAAGTAATTCCCTATTCCAAAACCTATGTGACTAACATTGCCTGAAATTTTGTGTGGCCATCTTATATGCACTACAGTGTGCCAGCTAATACATTTTTATTTAATTTCTTTTAACTTATACTGATAAGGTATCCTGACAAGGTATCCTGACAGTTTGTTTAATTGCATATTCATTTACATGCTTGAACACATCTTTTCATCCTCAAATACTGACTAGCAAGTAATTTGAAATGGGATTCTTGGTGGAAGTGGCAGGGAGTATTTTGTGGAGCCTGAAGGTGTGTTGTGACTTTAATACTGTATACAGGAGTCGGAAATGCCACCGCCTGTGTCCTGCATGAAATCATCTATGTAACTGGAGGTCACTACGGGTACAGGGGAAGCTGCACCTATGATAAAATCCAGAGATACCATTCAGGTAGCAATGAATGGAGTATAGTCGCCACAAGTCCGCACCCAGGTAAACAATGATTTCTCTCGTGAGTGTAGAGCTTGACTGGTTTGCTTCTAGCCTGGAATCTTTAAGCCCTCTTACCGTGTTTCTGGCATTTTTCTATTAAAAGGAGCAATGCCTGTAGGGGCACAAGAGGTCCAGAATTGATGTTTGACCCTGTGGGATCATCCCCATTTCCAGGCTTTGAGAGGGGAAGGGAAGAGCTCTCCTCAAACATCTGTTCAATAGAAACCACTATATAAACGTTGTCGTAAGGAAGGGCTGCTTTCTATTAAGTAACATACTAAACTAATTTTTCATAAAATCTGTCTATTCATAGGCATTTGGCAAAGATCGTTATATGGATTTTCATGGAGTTTTCTCTACTTTCTGCCTTTTGTAACAATAAGTTTTTAAGGGGATTCTCACTAAATAGTGGTGATCATGTTTGTCTTCTATAATGCCTCGGTCTCGCGTAGACCAAGTGTAGCAGAAGTTCCTGAGGCCTTTCCTAAACTCGGTGCAGAAGCCCAGTTGACCTCAGTGGGCACGTAAACCAAGACCCCAGTGTTTGTCATGTAGCTGCAGTTCTACACAGTGTTTCTTGTTTAAGTTAACATTCTCATTCTAAGCTGAACTATATTCCTTTCTTCCTGAAGAATATGGATTGTGTTCAATTACATTACAAAACAAGATCTATTTTGTGGGTGGACAGACCACGATCACGGACTGCTATGACCCAGAGCAAAATGAATGGAAGCAGATGGCTCACATGATGGAGAGAAGGATGGAGTGTGGCGCGGTGGTTTTGAATGGATGCATCTATGTAACGGGAGGATATTCCTATTCAAAAGGAACATACCTACAGAGTATTGAGAAATACAACCCTGAACTTAATAAATGGGAAGCAGTAGGTAATCTCCCCAGTCCTATGCGTTCACATGGCTGTGTCTGTGTGTACAATGTCTAAACAAATTTAGTTTTCATATTGCTGTTACAGAAAACAGCAGATGCAGTATTCCCAGTAGTACTGCTTACCTCATCAATGAGATGTCTACCATAATCCCTTAGGTCATATTCATTGAAAACTATGTATAACCTATCTTTATTTTAAATGATTCATAGATGATTCACAGGTCCATATTCATATTGATTTAATGATTAATGGATTCATAGATTCCTAGATTCAAAGATAAATGCAGTAACAATGTTTCCGTATATTTTCAGTCCAAACATTCTCTGTCGTAAAAATTTTCAAATGATTCTCTTATAGTGTTTTTTGTAGCCATAGAGGAATGACTGTGAAAAACATAATTTATTTTCATTAATACCTGAGTGGAACTATAGTCTGGTGCTAAGGTGAGTAAAACCAAACAAAATACACTGTATTTCTGTGGACGACTGGGTTTAAGGTGAAATCTCTGATGCTCTGAAGATAGCTATAGAAATTGTTCATTGTCACAGGATAAGCGTGTGGTACATACACAGCAGTATCACTTTGAGGACTGGATTACCACATCCAGAAGCATTGGGCAATTATCCTCTAAATCTAATTATTCCTCTAATATGCCTTAAGATGCGGAAATGAGAGGAGTACATGGGGGAAGAAATGACACATGGTAGCCCAGCAGCACAAAGAGAAAGTGTGCGTTAGTTTTCCAGAAGCCGAGCAATGCTCTGCAGTAAAGAACCATTAGAGAACATGTCATTTTCACACCGAAAGGGCCTTTGGGAGATGAAAAAAGAAGTCTCTGCATTGCTTTGTAATGGGCTCTTGGCTGATTCGTAGGTACCGTTGACCCTTTTCTGAGAAAAGCCTTACTATGCTAGCTATTTTTGCAGTCATATTTAAGATGTGTGTCTTCATGGAATGGAAGGAGTGAAGGAGAGAGATTGGAATATTCCTAAAATATTCCCCAACGTACAAACGTCTCTGTTTATTTTATTTAATACCATTCTCTCTTTTCCAAAAGTGCTAAATTGTGACTTGGAACAAAGGCAGCAACAAAAAACTTGTCAGAACATTATGCATGTAGCAATTTAATGCTAATTGGTCCACTGGATTTATTTATTATTTCTTTAAAAATGTGGTATGAGATCTTCAAATTCTATCTAGCGAACAGCTTGATGTGGGCAGAAGGATCATCATTTTGTCAGCTCTTTACTGCAGGCAGACTCCCAGTGTAGCATGCCGGTGTCAGCCCTGGCAGAAAGCAGAATCCATATGTCATGTTTAAATACAGGGTATTTTGCATCTGCCGTCACCAGCCTTCTTACCAGCCTATTTTGTATCCTGCAACGTGTCAGGTAGTAACACCTGTGCATTTGGTTGACTGTGAATCATTATTTCTTAGGATTTGTTGTGTCCTCATACCTTGTATAGCTGCTGTAACGTGTGGCTTGTTATTGGCCTGGTTCCCTAAGGGAGTAAGACACAACTGTGTTGTCTTTCTGTGCATGCGTCAGCTCCCCTCCAAGTTTTGAATCTCATCTGTTTTCAGCCGTGTTTCACGAGGCGGTGTAGGTCTTAAAGATAAGAATTTTTTCAGGTTTTATGGAAACTGGTAGCAGGACAGAGGGGGGAGAGAGAGACTGAAATTAGTGTCCTCTGAACATCGAGCAGAGGCTGGGATTGCTGCAGCGTTGCAGGGAGGAAAGAATGATAAGGTAGAAAATGTATCTGTAGGCTGCTGGAACAACTGCTGAGATGTCTTGGGGATGGCCTTATACAGCCGTTTGTATAAAGACACTGTTGTGTCACACAGTTAACTGCAATATGAAGAAACAGTTTCACTTTGTAAAAACAAAGAAACTTCATTCCTTAGTGAAAGAACATTCCTCCCTGCTCCTTTAGATCTAGTGTCATACAATGGGAAGCACCTGCTAATTGATTTCCTGCGGAGCTGTCAGAGACCTACCGCTGTAGTTCAGAGAAATACTCACCTAAACAGGCAAACGGGTTGCATGGAATGTAAAAAATAGCAAAATCTTCCTGGTTATTTAGGAGGTAGCTTTGGGGAGCATTCGTGCCGGTGCCTTTGCTGGGTTAGGTGCCTGCTGCCCCCTTCCCTTGCTCCTGCTCCTGTGCTGGGGCAGTACGGCTGTTCCGTAGGCCACGCTCAGAACAGCATCACAGAAGTCATCCAAATAAAGAAATAAGATGTGGGAGCAGAGAGGTTGTTTTAACCCCGACCAGTTCCTCAATCCAGCTTATAAAATGACACCAGAAACAACTGTCAGACGTTCGTGTGAGAGGGAGAGACAACCCAGGGCTGGGATAGGGCACTGTGGGAACTTTTTACACCAGCACTGCCACCAAAAAGGAATGTTTTGACTGTATTGGGTTTGTCAGATGTGTTTTAGGAGCTTTCCAACCTGGTAAGCCCTGAGTTTATAATATTTCTTTCTCTTAATTGTAAGCATTTTGAATATCTTCTTTGTTCTTTCACATTTTTATACTATTTCTCATTTGCATTTGACTACTGGTAGCAGGTTGCGCTCAACTCTGAGCTTTGCTGTGAAATTCTACAGTGTATATATAGTTCTTGTTTTCATGTTTTTGTGTATCACCTTTATGTGTCAGAAGCTCACGTGTGCATGGGTTCAGAGTTTTGCGTAGTAAACAGGCCCACTGAAAGCTATTTAAGGATCAGAGGGGATTTGTTTAAAGACTGTAAAATGTAAAGAGGTTGGAAGAGCTGAACCGTGAAGTTGTGAAGTTGTTTGAAATGTGTGGGCCAGGCAGGTTAGCAAAAAAAAAAAAAAAAAAAAAGTGAATTTGTTTCTCTTGGAACTCTCCACAGCAGAGAATTTTTAAAGTCAGATGGAGATGATAAGGGCTACATCACAATATTATGAAGGTGATCTATGCATTGAACAGATTCACAGGGAACTCAAAGCATGTACTTAATTCCTCAGTGCAAAATGTGTAGCAATACAGCTTCATATTTAAAGAAAAACACATGATCATAGAAGCAGCTGTTTGTGGCTAGACCTAAGGTTTGTTTAGCCCAATATCCTGTCACTGACAGTAGTAGGTAGGTGGAAGAATGTAAGCACAAGGCAAGCACTAACATAACCTCCCAGTTTCCGCTCATCTGCTGTTCAGAGACTTTCTAAACTAGATACATATCTTTGAGTAAAGACGGCAGCGTTTCAGGCTCAGAGCACAGGCCTGGGAGAGCAGAGTTCGGTTTCTTGCTCTGGTCACTGTGTAGGCAAGTGTTTAGCTTTCCTCAGCATCAGCCTACCTGTGAAGTGAACAAAAGCCTTTAGTTCTCAGATGCTGGGAGAATACGCGCTAACCTTGCATATACTGACGTCAATCAGAATTCTGCCTGCAGCTTCAGTGGAAATCAAATCTTTTTAGGTATTTTTAAAATGCTTTGGAATAAATGGGATGTAAAAGCTCAAAGAGTTCCTGTTACATTTTAACTGGTGCTATTTTTTACAATAACATATAATGCCCTTATGAATTACTTCACGTTTTTAACACATCACGAGCAAGTTTGTAGCAATCGGACTGTTGAGCACAGCCAATAATATGAATTCAGTGAGATGAATGAGTATTTTGGCTCCCATTAAATAATTTGTGCATCCTACTTCAGGTAAAGTGTTCAGGATATTTTTTAGCCATTTTTGTGGTACATTTTCAATATTAACAGTTGAATGTGAATACTAAATGATGTGGCAATTGTGTGCTGTTGTATCTGTTTTATGGTAGAAGTTGTTTTACTGTTTCATTTGTGAACTAGAAAGAGAATGAGATAATATAGAAGTTGAATCAATTGTTAAGGCAGTACTACTATTTATTAATTTATTAAAATTAAATTATAATTTTATTCCTCATATCCACGTTTGTAGCACTATGGATGTCTAAAACACTTTAGTAAATATAAATGTATTTAAGTAAATGTTTACACTGTTTAATAAATGTAAATATGACCTAAACTAGCATCAATGTACAAATATTAACTTCTAAATGACCTTTTTTTTCTGTTGAGCTGAAAGAATAGTGCAAAAACCTACACAGCCAAAAGAGGCGTTTTGGGAGAGACGTCATTTCCTCCCTCCGCAGGAGCGAGTAAGGCGCACCGACACAACGGCTCCTCCCGGCGCTGGTTTTGGCGTCTCAGACGCCCTGCTGCACAGGATAAAGGCTAAAGCGTTTCTCCAGCTCCCATTTTTGGTACCCAAATCTCTCTCTGAAATGACTGCAGACGGAGAAGTTCCCACTGCCAGTGCTGGAGAGCTCCTCTGTTCGCAGGGCCGCCCAAAGCTGGACACCGGAGGGGGCAGCGGCGTCGCGCCG